GGGGGGGGGGCGGGGAATGGGGAATATCTACACATCTAATTGTGTAGGGGAAGTTTGAGAATATAGACATAGGCACAGAGTCAAATGGACCTGGACTTAAATTAAGTATTGGCTCTACCATTTACTAGATGTGTGACATGGGTCAGTTAATTAACTTTTAAAAATCTCAGTTTACTCATCTAAAAAGAAACAACAACTCCAGGATTATAATCACACCAAACTCAAAGAGCAATTGTGAGGATTAAATTATATAATATATATAGAGCACTTAGCAAAGAGCATAGCACCTAATAAGCACTCCGTGAATGTTAACTATTACTAACCTTTGATAAGTTCCTGGCATATAACTCAATAAATTTCTGTTGAAGGAATACATGCAACTACATGTTTGCTATAATGATGAAAGTGATTGAAGCTTAGTTGGGAGAGGGGGAGGAAAGCTTTGGAAGGGGTGGGTCCAGAAGAACTTATTAGAAAGACAGCAACAGGACAGAACAGAGCTCAGAAATATATTCTGTATGTATTTGACAACATGATAGTATGTATATGACAGGTTATTCGTATATCAGTGCTACTTCTGAGATCAGCTCTCCTCTACCAAGAGAAATCATAATTCATACTTTTTCTCCTTTTTTGCACGTTTTATTCCTTTCTTACTTTAGAAGGGGCTGGAAATCTGGCAATAAAGGAAAAATTACATATGTGTATGCTTGTATCTTAATTTTTACCTCCTTCCATGAAACTCTTACCATGTTTGAAACATTTAATAAATTTTTCAAATCAAGCCTGGAACATTAGCTTCTCAATTAACATTTTCTGTCTGTGACACTTTTGTAAGAGCACTATTTTTAAATTATCTAATATTTATATCTAATTCTCTTTTTTAAAGGTTTTGAAGCAGCTATTAGTGTTTCTTATCACACAAGATAAAAATAATTAGGCAATTGAGAGAGACTTTTAAGATAAAAGAAGTATCAACATATGCCAATAAGGTTCACAGTTTTTAGAGGTGGATTGCAAAATGGGTTCTGAGCATCATAGCAGCCATAACAAGGAAAGTTAATTACTCAATTCACACTGTCCATATGATTCAAAACACACAATTACTCAGCTATCTCAGTTACCAAAAATATAATTTTTTCTTGAGTTGTTATTAAAAATTATATTTTGAGATAATAAATGCCTTCATGAATATTATAAAGTAAATAAAAGTCAAATATCATTGGTCTATTTTGTATTACTACCCTTGATGTAGTAGCCTCACGACATAACGCCAGAGTGGATGGATTCTGAAAATGACCAAAATGATTTTGTCTAGGTCTGAAGGTCTGGTAATTTAGCTTCACTGAATGAAAAAAAAAAAAATCACTTATTCAGAATAAATGATTGTACAATAACTTGTCTTCCAAAAATATGTATTCCTTACAATTAATTTTAGATAAGTGTTAGGCAGTAGAGACCTTGTGGCTATAATCTGTAGCAGGCATCTATAATGTCTCTAATATCATCCCTATATCTTTAAGGAGAATACGTTTGGCATCACTTTATGAAAGTCCTGGAACCTTTCAGGTCACGTGACTGAACAGGGAGCCATTTTAGTACCTCAAGTAGGTAGACCATGGAGTACACTGAGGGACAGCTCTCCCAACTGTGGGAAAGTGAGTCAATATCAGCAATTTCCACATCAGGAACCATGAGTTTTCAAAATCCCCAAATTCTTGTCAACTCTGGAGCTGAAATTGCTGATAACTACAGTGCCCAAACTGCGGGTGACCAAGGCACCTCAACTCTTGTCGACCATGGCGCCCAAGCTGATGCCTCCATCGGTGCCCAAGCTGATGCCTCCATTGACGCCCAGGCTGCTGCCAGAACTCCTCTGGAAAACTTAATGGAAAGACAAGGTAAGTGGCTTTATGTTCCCCCCGCCTCTACAAATTAAGGATATTATTTGGGAATTTATTTGAACTGTGCGACCCCTTTGAGGAGAAATTGGTGTAACTTGTGTCCTTGTTCAAAGATGTAAAATAATGACTCTGTGGAGGAGAGGGGCGGTTAATATGTTAGAGTAGTTTGGGCGGGATTCTAATTATTGAATGGATTTGCGTGGTGGCGTATTTGTCACCAGGTGCGGAGCAACCTAATGTGGCACCCCTTTTACAAATATCTCTGTGCACTGGTAAAAGTCCTGTGGTCACTCTGAAGGTTGCCCCTGTGTCAAGAGAATTTGTTCTTGAAGCCTTGTTCCTCCAGATCCCCCAGCGGCCTGCGCCCCTTGAACCTTTTTCCCCAACCCCACTCCCAACCCTACCTCATCTCCACCCCTGGCACGCGGCAACCTGGCAGCCGCCTCGAGGCCACCCATCTGTCAGCGCAGGCGGCCGCGGAGGCGCGGCGAGGCAGGGAGGGGCTGTGCACTCGGCTGCTACCTGTCCCTGCACAGTCCACCCGCCGCCCGCCTTCGGATTCCATGGCTTGCCGCCCGGGAGCCCACTCACGCCCCCTTCGGAACCTCCTGGGCAGAGAGGCAGGTGTGCCCCGCACAGCCTTTCGGGTGCCCGCGCGAGTCAGCGGAGGAGCAGGTGAGTGGGTCAGGCAGAGGTCCCGGGGCTGGTCAGCGCCGTGTGTTAGCGCACGGTGCTTCCCTTCCCTGCTAGCCTGGACCTTGAGGCTCCAACGCTGGGACCCCTTGGTTTTCCAGGGAAATCATTTCAAAGTCTAGGAGCTGGGCTCTTCCCTTGGAAGCTTAGTGCCCCTGGGATAATGATGGAAGGGTGATTGCCTCCAAACTGCAGCCAGCGGCTATGACTGACAAAATGCCAATTTTGGCTGATGCTCTTAGGCTACCTGGAGCATGCTGTCAGGCACCTTCCACCTAGCTGTAACTCTAATTTCAAATCTAATTTCACTGAAGCTAGATGGAGCTGGGGCGGGAGTGGGGGGTGGGGCTTGAATGGTGGAGAGAGGTCCCATTAATTTAATTAGACATCAAAGAATGCTTGCTAGGAAAATAGTGGATGCCTTTTCTTAAATACAATACAAGCAGTTCATTGGAAAAATGCAGATAACTTTTTTTTAAATATTAAAAACTAGTTTCAACCTAGGTTGTCCACTTTTCTCTGAAAGTTTTCGTTTTTACACTATTTCTTTCATAAAAGAAAAGCATTGAAATGAACAAAATGTCCTAGTGTTAGTTCTGCTGAGAAATCTAAAAGTTACTACTCATCTGATAAAATCTTGCTTAGCAGCTAGTTCTTCAAATATCTGTATTTCTGTTCCCAATCTTAAGTGTTTGTTACTTTTTGTCCTGTTATGCAATGTTCCAAGCTCCAAGATTTTCAATTTGCTTTAATTTAATTAATGTTCCCCTTATTTTACATTGTGTGTGTATAACTGTATGAAACAGCAAGGAAAAAATTGATTATCACAAATAAGCAATGTCTCTCTTTCTCTGCCTTTTTCTCTCTCTCATCCTGGCTGTCTGCTTTCCCACCGCTGGCCTCTCTTGTGCTTTCTATGCCTTTCTGGTAGTTTCTGAAGTCATGCTAAAGGAATGAAATTATAACTGGTGAGTGATTTCACCATAATAGGGTCTCAGACTAACTTGTATATGTTTTTTTTAAAAGGTTCCGGTACTTTTAAGTGATATTCAAGTTCCAAACTCAGAGCCCAGTTAATGGTTTACAGAGTATTAGGAGATGTACATTAATCTAACTTAAGATATAAGATTTTATAAGTTGGTATATAGTATAATGTCCTTAGAACCTAAGAAAATTTTGTCAGGTTTCATATATGTACATTACTTTCTTTCCACTTTTGAGAAAAATATCCTCAGAAGTGTGGGCCCTAAAACTCAAAATGCAAACCACTTCAGATCTATCCCAAATAGATGGAAAATAAGATGGGAAATAAAGATTAACTTGGAGTGGATTACTGTACTCACTTTATGGAAGGTGTATTTTTTTAATACAAAGGGACCCATCTTAGGATTCCTTTAAATAGTTTTTAGGGGTATTTCAAATAAGTGGTGGTTGTGAGGCTTATAGGAAATAATAGACCTAACACACTCAATGTGGTACCTACACATAGAATGCATGCGGTAAATGTTAGCAATGAATAAATTAAACTGGATTTTACATTCTTTCATATCACCGTTCAGGAACGTCTACTCCATGAAGTTAGGTGTACTCATATAGATAGCCTAGCCTTAAGAACTAAACTTTCTGAAGGGTGGCTCTGAGCTATTTATGCTGGCTCTAGAGTAATAAAAAGCTGCCTGCTTTCCCATAGGTTTAATTCCTACCAATCCATTAAGGTGAATGAAATATTGAAAATTTAACTCTTGTTTCCTTCTAATCATCATAGAACATTTCTGCCAGTGGTTTGGGGGTTGATTTTGGACTTTGGCTGGCACTCTCCCTGTGGAGGCATGCAGTTCTCTTCACCTATCCCCACAGTGTTGGTGAAATTTTAGTCCTTTACCTGAGAGTCTAAGAATATCATTAAAAAGACTAAATCATTTTTTATAATAGCTCTGACTTTATTTGTTATCATGCTATTTGGATTAATTTTTGAAAATATTCAAGTATTGTAGGGGAGATAAATGACTTTTAAAAGTAATTAAGTGATTTCAAAGAAGGTATTTCAGAACTGTACACACACAACATTCCAGTGAGGATCGTGGGCAATATCTTGTATAATTTAACCAGTACTACCAGAAGTGATCAGCAGAGGGAGCAAGAAGAGTTTTTGGTGACTTTCTGTTGGTTTTGTTTTTGTTTTCATGAACTCAAAAACCAGAGATGAATAAAAGCCAGCATGAACCTCCTTACGAAATTGAGAACCAGTTTATATTGCGTCTGCCTCCGGTAAGAAACCCTTGTATCTCAGAGCAAATATCTTCAATGCGTAAGTATTAGCTCTATTTGGATTCTGTAGCATTTCTATTTAAGGTGGGCTATAAAAACTGAGAACATTTATTTCCCAGGATTATGTTCTATTAAGCAGTCCTATCCTCGTGTGTACTCTTTTAGAAGCATTTATTTTGTCCTGTACACACCACCTATTGTGTGGACTGATTCCCTGGCAAACAGCTGTGACGATGGATTCAGTATCAACAGCCTGATTGCTCATTGGACAGCCAAGATAAGACTCTTCTAAAATCTTTTCTGTCACCTCAAATGGGTCCATGAGAGGGACCAGCACTATGTCCTGCAAATTCATCACCATGCAAGGCTGTTGAAGCTCCTCGCAACATTGTGTTAGGTTCTTTTCCTCCATTGAGACCTGTATTCAAATATTATTTAGTCTACGAAGGCTGTATTAAGGATGGGCTTCAGAAAGTTATTTCCCCAATTAGGGTTAATTAATGTACTTAGTAAACTGCAGCTAAGCCTTTCCTTAGCAATATAACTGAAGGGAAGCAGTGAGAGGCAGGAATATAGAACTGGGAGAAGGCATTAACTGTAGCTATTAAAAGACAACAGTGAGATTAGAGCTAGCCTCATCCTAAATTGTCTTGCACAATGCACAGTATGCCATTGTTCCTAACATTTGGGAAGTTTAACATTTTATTTAAGAAGGACTGTCTCTAACATATCTGTACTATTAGCTGCCAAGTAGACAATTCACCCTTCTGATTTGTCAATTTACCTCCTTTTTAGGAACATGCTGCTGCTGTCAGGGGAATGATACAATCTGGAAGTGTTGCCATGAAGGATAAACTAAAAATTGACTTATCTTGTAAGTAATTAATATCCATTCATCATACATTGAACAGTAAGTTATTAAGGGATTGCTCTGTGCCAGGTACTGTAATCCATACTAAGGATGTGACAAAGAATAGAATCTGGCCTCTCTCTTGATGGACTCTAAGAGAGGTTTAAATCACTCCCATCTCTTCTTTTTAAAAAAATATTTTATTGATTTCAGAGAGAGGAAGGGAGAGGGAGAGAGAGATAGAAACATTAATGATTACAGAGAGTCCTTGATCAACTGCCTTCTGCACCCCCCTCACTGGGGATGGAGCCCACAACCTGGGCATGTGCCTTGACCTGGAATCAAACCTCAGTCTCCTGGATCATAGGTCGATGCTCAACCTCTGAGCCATGCCGGCCAGGCACTCCCATCTCTTCTTTTAAGAGGAAAAGAAGTTCATATTTTGCAACTTGAGGTAATTATCAAAGTATGTATAAGGAAGAACTTGAGGGTCAACTGTGGGATTTACATACTGCTGATTGTCTTCTACATACAAGCTTTGGGATTTTTGACTATGACAAATTAATATACTTGTTCTTTGTCTACAAAGGTGACATACTTTTCTCCCTTTTCAATAACATTTATTAGGTTTTTAAATATAGAGAAGCAGAACCTATGCCCACTGCAAATCTGTATGCATTTAAACTGTAGTTGTCACTTTAACTTCAATTCTAGTTGGATCACCCATTGCAAATGGAAAGCTGCAGACGGTTTTTAATTTTTAAAATTTTTATAAAGTATTTTTAATATGTTTTTTATTGATTTTACAAAGAGAGGAAGGGAGAGGGACAGAGAGATAGAAATATCTATGAGAACCATCCATCTATCGGCTGCCTCCTGCACTTCCCCTGCAGCCTCCTACTGGGGATGGAGCCCACAACCCAGGCATGTGTCCTGACTGGAAATCGAACCGGTGACCTATTGGCTCATGGGTAGATGCTCAACCACTGAGCAACACCGGCCGGGCGACATTTCCTATTAATGTCTGCAGTTTATTTTGGGTCTTTGCTAAACTTCCTAAATGGCTTTCAGGGTCTCCTTTCAATGCATTCCTTTAAGTGGTCCCTGGAAACATTGCTGGCCATTTCCAGTCTTCATTTTATCTTACAGAAGGACAGAATAATTGGGTATATATTCACCTTTAGAGCTGCAACTATAGCTTTAAGTTGTTTTTTTTTTTAAATTATAGAATGTCCTTTTGTTCAGCTAATTTTACATGACAAAGCATATAGCCAATAAAACTTTTATGTGGGAGGAGTGGGAATGAGGAAGAAGGGGTCAAGGCTGGAAAAACAATAAAGATAAATTTTAAAAAAGAATAATAGTTTCTGAAATCATGTGTAAACAAAGATATGAAAGTAGAACAAAATAAAACAATATTAAAGAAAAAATAAAATAAATACAGAGAAGAATATAAATACAGAGAAAATTAAAAATGGCCCATAAGTCCACTACTCTAGTAGCACTATTGACATTTTTAAAAAAGGGCAATACAAGTTTATGGCTAGAAAATTCAAATAAAACAAAACAAAAAAGTTCAAAAGGAGGAGTGAAACTCTCCTTCACAGTGCCTCAAACTCAATGCCAAAGATAACTAATATTAACTATTTCTCCCTGTATTTCCTTACAGACAAAACTGTTATGCATAATTACCAACATTTAAATAATCTCTCTGTTTTTAAAGTTAATTTACACAAAAAAAGATTGTGTCAAACATGGTTCTGCATTTTTTTCACTTTCCATTAGAAGATTAAACTTGAATCCTCAAAAGACATCCATATTTGAGACATCTGGGCAAGATTCAGAGTTTTCAGTATATGATATATATGTATATATTTATAATATACATAGTTTTTATTTAAAAAAAAATTTTAAACCTCATTTGAGGATATGTTTGATTTTAGAAAGAGGAAGGGGGGAGGAGAGAGAGCGAGAGAGAAACATTGATGTGAGAGAGAAACATCAATCAGTTTCCTCTTGTATGTGCCCTGACCAGGAATCGAATCCACCTTTTGGTGTACCGGACAATGCTCCAACCAACCGAGCCACATGGCCAGGGCTACATATTTTTTCTCAGTACTTGGCGATTGTGTAGAATTTTATCTTTGTGAAGCTAACTAGAGGTTATAACTTGAGACTTATTCGCACCATTCTAGGATCAACCCTTCCCTCACCCAACCCTTTGAAAACACCCATGCATAATGACTTTGAATGCTCTTATGGTGTCAAAATGAATGAGTTTGAATGAATGGAGTTTGCCTTTCAGGTTGAGAATGAAACACTTACTACTTTTCCACATTTAGTTCACAACCATTACTAAGAAAATTCGCTACTTTTGATCAAGTGACATAAACTGGGGAAAAACGCATTCCATAGACTCTGCCTTCTTTCCTCTGGGGAGTTACTAAATGCATGTACAATTCTAGCACCATGAAAAATACTAGATTTCACTGAAAGACTAGTCTGTTCCACACATGTCTTCCTTATTCAAACCCTAGGAAGTTTAAGAGTACATTGGGGCCCTGCCGGGCATGGCTCAGTGGTTGAGCGTCGACCTAGGGTCCAGGCGATCTGGGTTTGATTCTCGGTCAGGGCACATGCCCAGGTTGCTGGCTTGATCCCCAGTCGGGGGTGTTCAGGAAGCAGCCAATCAATGACGACTCATCATTGATGTTTCTCTCTCTCTCTCTCCCTCTCCTTTCCTCTCTCTGAAATCAATAAAGATATATTAACAACAACAAAAAAAAGAGAGTATATTGGGAATATATCAACTTTAATCTTCCCTGCTTCTCTTCAGCTGATGGACGTCATGCAACTGTTGAGGTGAAAGATGTCTCACTAACTGCTAAGGTGGTTGACTTGCCTTGCGTTATTGGAAGCCTGAAGACTCTCGACAATAAAATGTTTTATAAAACGGCAGATATTTCCCAGGTATTGATGAATTTTCTTAATCTTCTAGCTCTCACACCCTTCCAGGAATCCCTTTCTCCCTCCTTTTTCTCTTTTTATTTATTGATTTGAGAGAGAGAGAAACATTAATTTGTTGTTCCACATATTTATTCATGCATTCACTGGGTTGATTCTTGTATGTTCCCAGACCAGAAATTGAACCTGCAACCTTCGCATACCAGGATGATGCTCTAACCAACTGAGCTACCTGGCCAGAGCCCTTTTCTATTTCTTTCAGTGCTCCTTTCCACTTGGTGAATGGCTGCTTGTCATTTTTAATTCCCAGCTCAATTACACAGGAATACAGAACGGCACAGAACGGCAGGTTCTGGTTTGGTGTTTTATCCATAACTTTTCACTACTTTATTTTATCGAAATAGCTTTTAGAGCCCCCTATTTGCCATTTATAGTAACTTTCATTATTTGAAATATATGAGCATCTGGGGTTTTCTTCTGAACTTTCTGCTTAAACAGTATGCTTTTAACTGTGGAGATTTACGCTGGTTCTTATTCATCATCTCTACTCTTGATTTTTTGTTTTCTTTCTAAATCAAAATGCTAGGATATATTTGTTTTCAACATATTCCTTCTGAAATGTTAAACACTCAAGCTAAAAAACCCACACACACTCAGAGTCCACATACAGGGTTGTCTAAACACAGAGTGAATGAATATGAATGTATGTAATACTTGGTTTTCTGGAAATGCCAAGTAACATTGTCCTTACTTCTATCCTCTAGGACTTCTGGTGGTCATGATTTATTACTAATCCAAGATTTGTGGCCATAGTCAACTTCTTTGTTTTTGTTAAATGTAGATGCTTGTGTGCACTGCTGATGGTCGTCTTCGCTCTTCTTTGGAAGAACCAGTTACCTCTACTGATTTTAAAGGAATCAAGAAAAATGAAAGGGGGAGACGGAAAAAATATGTCTGGAAGCATGGCAGTAAGTCACCAGCCCTTTTGCTCATTCTGGCTGACTACATTTATCTGCTGAATCCTAATTACTTGTGAACCAGAGGCCCGTTTACCACACTCAGGTATTTGGTTCATTAGGCATCCAGACACTCTTAAAGGAATGAGTCATGTCATGAGCCAGTAGTTTATAACATGACCTTTCTCTTTATCAAATTCAGAAGATATGTGACTACCATAAATATTATATGTTTCACCATGTTGAATTTATTTTAGTTACTCCTCCACTTAAGAATGTCAGAAAGAGAAGGTTCCGCAAAACAACAAAAAAGGTTAGTTGCATGCTATTTCTGTGTCTACTGGGTGAATTGGAAAAAGATTATGAGTGGGGGGAAAGGAAGATAGTCCATTTGGGAATTAATTTGTTCATTCATTTGTATGTTCAATAAACATTTATTGAGTGTGAGCTAAATGCCAGGCACTGTGTGCTAGCAAATTGGGAATATATAATGAACAAAACCCAACCTGCTCCTTGAGGTTATAGGCTAGTCCATTAGGGACCTGACTGTGTCTTAAATTTGAAACTTCTGCTAATGCTTTTAACTTTCAATTGCAAGATTTAGTTTTAAAGTGAACTCATCCAGAACCTGAGAATTGGGAATTGTGGTTATATTCCTAACCTTACCTTGGACTTTTAGAACCTTGGGCAAGGTACAGGAGTACTGTGGTTTAGCTTTATTTTTTTAATTAAACTTTTTTATTTTGAAATAATTGTAGAGTCAAGTGAAATTGTAAGAAATAAAAGGGAGATACCATGTACACTTTAACCAGTTTTCCAAATTGTGACTTTTTTCAAAATTATAGTACAATATCACAAAGAGGAAATTCACATTATTACAATTCGCCAATCTTATTCAGATTTCTCTAGTTTTACTTGTACTCCTCTGTGTGTGTGTTTAGTTCTATGCAGTTTTATCCTATATGTATGTTCATGTATCCACCTACACAGTCAAGGTACTAAACAGTTCTGTCACCACAAGGATCCCTCATCTTGCCCTTTTATAGCCACACTCACCTCCCACCTACGCTACACCCCTAGTCTCTAACCCCAGGCAATTACTAACATGTTCTCCATCTCTATAATTTTGTCATTTTGAGAATGTCATATAAATGGAAACCTACAATATATAACATTTAAGACTGGATTTTTTCCACTCATCATAGTTTCCTTAATATCTGTGCAAGTTGTTGCATGTATCAATATAGTTCATTCCCTTCTATTGCTGAGTAATTCTATCATATGAATGTACCAGTTTGTTTAACTGTTCACCCATTGAAGAACATCTGGGCTGTTTACAGTGTTTGACTATTATAAATAAAGCTGTGAGCAGGTTTTTGTGTGAATATAAGTATTTGTTTCTTTGGGATAATTGACCAGGAGTACAACCTTTGGGTCATAGAGGTGCCGGTAGTTGCATGTTTAATTTTATAAGAAACTGCCGACTGTTTTCCACAGTTGCTGTTCCATTTTACATTCCCACCAGCAATGTATGTGTGATCTAACTTCTCTATACCCTAACCAACATTAGGTGTTGCCACTATTTTTTATTTTAGCCATTCTGATAGATGTGTAGTGGTATTAATTTGCATTTCCCTCTCATGTGCATGTTTGCCATCTGTATATCCCTGCAGTGAAATGCCTGTTCATGCCTTTTGCCCATTTTCTAAACTGATTTTTTTAATTGTTGAGTTTTGAGAATTCTTTTTATGTTTTAAATATTAGTTTTTGTCAGGTATCTGGTTTGCAGTATTTTCTCCTAGTCTGTAACTGGTCTTTTCATCCTCACAGGGTCTTTCAAAGAGCAAAAGTTTTTTGTTTGATGAGGTCCAATTTATTGATCTTTCTCACTAAGGATCTTGTTTTTTGTGTCAAGCCAAAGAACTTCTTGCTCAGTTCAGATCCTTAAGATTTTCTCCCTTATCTTTTTTCTAAAAGTTTTACATTTTACATTTAATTCTGCAATTCGTTTTTGAGTTAATTTTTGTAAAACGTTCAAAGTTCATTTCTTTTTACCTTTACGTGTCCAATTGTTCCAGTACCATTTGTTAAAAAGATATCCTTCCTCTACTGTATTTCTTTTGTACCTTTGTCAAAAATTGGTTGGGTATATTTGTGTGTCTTTTTCTGCATTCTTTGTTCTGTTTCATTAATCTATGTATTGATCCTTCCACTGCTAACACTGTGTCAGCTATATAATGACAGGAAACCAAGAAGACTGTTCTCACTTTATTTTTCTTTGTCAAGATTGTTTTAACCTATTAGAGCCTGTACCTTTCCATATAAATTTTAGAATAAGCCCGGCCGGTGTGGCTCAGTTGATTGAGTGCCGTCCGATGCACCAAGAGGTTGCCGGTTTGATTCCGGTCAGGGCACACATCCAGGTTGCCTCTGGATCACAGTGGAGGGCATACAGGAGGCAGGCAATCGATGTTTCTCTCTCACCCATGTTTCTATCTCTTTCTCCTTCTCCCTTTTTCTGTCTCTAAAATCAATGAAAGAACATTTAAAAAATATTACATATTAAATTTTAGAATAAGTTTGTCTATGTCTATAGAAAAGTTTTGTTGGAATTTTGATAGGAATTGTATCAAAATATAGATTAATTTGGGGAGAATTGACATCACTACTAGTCTTTTAATCTATGAACATGGTTGCCTTGACTTTTATACTGTGAGTCAACAGCATTCATTGAATGTCTACTAAATGTAAACCTAAGTTAAGAATAGTTTTAGAACTCTTTAAGCCTTAATGAAGTATGACAATTGTACTATAACTTCATTGTTTATTATGTTTTATTTTATAGCCGGTTGATTTAAAACAAGTCGAAGAAGTCAGCTTTACTGAGGTAGAGCAGTCATAATATAACTTTATTGTTTGCCCTTAGTATGTTTTATTTCATAGCTCATTAATTTCAAACAAATGAAGGAAATCATAAAGGTTACTTTCAAGCCTTTTTTCTCACCTCTAACCCTCACTCCCACACGTACAATGACTTTGATTCACTGAAAAATGAATTAATTGTTTAATGTCTGATAACTCCTAGAGGAAAAGATACAATTTGGCCAGTTGACCCTGTGTATTCTAATCTGCTTTTTTCTGTGATATTTATTTAAAAAGCCATTTCTTGGCAGTCAAGATTCACTTTTCACAAGCAGTTGTTTGCAATTGCTATCACCCCTTAAAGTTCTAATTTCTATTTGTGGCATGACGAATCAGTTGCTGTGGAGACTGAGTTTAAGGGAGAACATGTAGCTAAGATCCATCTTTTAATAGGAAAATCTCTAAATAATAAAGATGTGGGAAAGTGGAATCTTGGAATTTGAATCTTAAACTAAATTACTTCTAAATAACAAATAAGGAATTACAGTTCTTTGCCAATGTGGGTCAGGGCAAGTAATTGAAAATTGAGGCCTAAGGGTTGTATCTCTGAGACAGGTCTTTAAAATAAATCTGCAGGTTGAAAAGACTAAATGTCTCAAGTAATTTGATTGGGAAAAAATAAGCTTACCATACAAAAATCTAGATCCTGGTTAAGATTAAGATTCCTTCATAAATAGCATTATTTAAGTAGAAATTTGGATGAATATTTTAAAGAGGACTAATTATGTGAATTTATTTGTATGTAGGAAAAGGGCATTCCTGGAAAACACAGGGTACTAAATGACATTACTGATATTCCTAATACCCCCACTCTGGTCCAGTGCACTGAACCTCCTGATGCAGAAAAGGAAGTGAAAAGACTACTGTGTTCAGATGCTGAAGCTGTCAGTGTCCGTATCCTTTTATACTAAATATGTTCTGTGTAGTCTGTTCCATCCCATATGTACTTGCTGACAAGCCCTTGCTTCTGGTGTTTGTGTGCCAATTTTGATGTAGAGAAGTTAAGATTTTTGGAAATGTTACTTTCTAGCTAGGAACAGTGAATTCGTGAAATAGAAATTGATCTATTTGTGTAATTCAATATAATGTACTTCTCCATACTAGAAATCTAGATAGAAAGGCCTGAAGTTGGATTAAAATAAATAGTACTTTCAGCAGAGAGCCTCTTCTCTTTCAGTGGGGTCTTCTCCTTTCTCTCTACTTTTTTCCTTGACTGCCCCTTTTAGGATGGGAAGTCATTGCTGAAGGTGATGGCAAGGAAATAGAAAGTCAAGGCTATGTTCCAAGCTTTGAGATATCCCCGGGAACAAGTGGCTATAAGCAGGGTCATAGTTCACCAGGTACGTTAATAAAGGCAAAAAACAAGAGCTTCAGAGAGGGTAGGTGTTGACCCTGTGTAAGACCATTTTCCATAGACTTACAGGCCAATTACAGGAAAAGGATGCTTTTGCCCTTCTTTCCTCTTATTGGTCATTCAGTACTTTATGGGTTTTAGATTGCAGTTCTAATCTCCCATCAATCCATGGTATTCTAAATTCCTATGGGCCCTTAGATTCTCTAAATATCTTGATCATTTAATACATGAATGAATGTTACAGTGTTTTGTATTTCCTGTCTTTGTTTTCCGAAGGGAATAATTTTCCTACAAGAAAAATTACTTATAAAATTAATTGGTTGTCCAGTAAATTTGAGGGGAAGGTTACAATGGCAGCTGGAGTGGGAGTCATTTGAAAAGCTTCAGGTAATTTCACTTCTTTTTGCTTGAAACCAGTAGAATATCATATGCTTCCGGAGAAACTCAGTGATTCTAGCAGTAACAGTGATAATGATGAGGACAAGGACCAGGATGATGATGATGATGATGATGATGATGATGATGATGACGATGATGATGATGATGAGGAATTTTACTATGATGATGATAACGAAGAGGCGGAACAGTGTTATGAAGAGAATCTGCAAAGAGAGCTACAGGCCAAATTGATTGAATTTGGCCAGTGTAAGGCAAAGGAAGGAGCCAGTTCAATAGGTAAGTTAGAAGTAAAAACAAAGGGATGGGACAGAATGGGTGGCAGTGCTAAAGATGAACTCTAAACACACATCAGATGCAAGGCTAAGTTTGAAATGTTATTGCTCAGATGCGTAGTGGACTTTTAGTTGATTTGAATTTCAGTCCACTAGTTTAAGCTGTGTTTATTTTATTTTATTTTTAAAATATGTTTTTATTGATTTAAAAGAGAGGAAGGGAGAGGGAGAGAGATAGAAACATCAATGATGAGGTAGAATCGTCGATCGGTTGCCTCTTGCACGACCCCTACTGGGGATCGAGCCCACAACCCGGGCATGTGTTTTGACCGGGATGGAACCATGAAAGCGGTGTTTAGATATACAAAGTTTCTGTCTATCTCTGTTAGTTATGGAAATTCAGAAGCATATTCATTACATGGAGAAAAAGCTACAAGAGGTTCAGTGCAGAGCACAAAGACAGAAGGATCTCATCAAGAAAGTGGAAAACCTGACACTCAAGGTAAATTCTTGTTGGCTGGTATAAAGATATCTTGGTATTTTACTTTCAAAATCCCATCTTGTGTTTCCACTCATGCCCTCTCTGAGCAGCATTCTTGTTCACTGATGAAGCTAAACAACTTCTTAGAAACCCCTAACAATAGAAAGCTCTATATCCTTTTATCTGAGTAATTTTGATAATCTCATATAAGCATTTTTTTTTTTTTTTTGGAAGTGATCAGGAGACTTGAGATAATAATTGCCAATATTGAACATTTCCCATGTGAAAGGAACATAAAGAGCTTAGCATTTTACATGTATCATCTCATTTCATTCTTACATCCTTGAAATATAGGTACTGTCACTAGTCCCATTTTATAGATAAGGAATTGAAATTCAAAGAGGTTAAGTAATTTGCCAAGGACCACAGAAAGCGGTAGGGCATAGGATGAACCCTATTGTTTGTGCCAAAATGTACATTGTAGTGAAAGAGAATTAACTAAATTTGATTTTAAATTTTATTATGCATCCTTGAGCAAGAAAAAATATCTTGATTTATTTTTATTAATACACTTTCAACTAAAAGAAAATGTATGTTTATGCCCTGTTTACTTTCCTTTTTATAGTGAGGGAAATTCTGAAGCATCTGGAGAATTCTTTTCATTTTCTATAAAATTGTAGTCATCAAAGGAGAGCAACTTGACATGAAACTGTACCTATTTAAAGTGTTATCTTTTGAATAACCAAGTGAGATAATAGATGTGGACACACTTTGCAAGATACAGATATAGGGTATATTATGATTGTTGCTGCATGCAGTACTAGTTAAGAATAGTAATATTCTGCCCTAGTGCAAGGAACTGGAAGCATTAACAACAAATTCCAAGTCAGCTTTTTCAAAATAGTTCACCACAGTCAAAGGATTTGTGATAAACTAGAAAAATGTAACATGAAGGCATTCTAACCATTTATTTTAGGACACGAAAAAAATGCTGCGTAGGGTATATAAAATCAAATTGATGGTCATGTAGTTAGGGGTGCAGTTTTTATACTCTAAATCCTTTAAAAAGAGTGCTCTTTTGTTATGACTGAGAGTTTTCTTATATATCAAATTATTTGCCAAACTGTTTGCCTCTCTTGGTTCAGTGTTGTTGTTGTTTTGAGACTCAGCATGCATCATTTATACAATTTGTTTTTGTTTTTCAGAATCATTTACACTCTGTGCTGGAGCAGCTAAAGTTACAAGAAAAGCAAAAAAATGAGCAGGTAAGAAATGTGTTTTCAAATCAACCAGAAAATATTTGATACAAATAATACCCCATCCCACCCTCAGTCTCATTTCTGGCTGTTCTTTTTGTTGTTGTTGTTGTTAATCCTCACCTCAGGATATTTTTTCCATTGATTTTCTAGAGAGAATGGGAGGGGAGGGAGAGAGAGAGAGAGCGAAAGAGAGAGAGAGAGAGAGAGGGAGAGAGAGAGAAAGAGACATCGATGTGAGAGACACATCAATTGGTTGCCTCCTGCATGTGCTCCAGGGATCAAACCTGCAACCCAGGTACATGCCCTTGATTGGGAATCAGACCCGAGACCCTTCAGTGAGAGGGCCAACACTCTAACCACTGAGCAACACCAGCCAGAGTTCCTTGTTTTTTGTTGCTAATCTTCACCTGAAGTTATGCCTTCATTGATTTTAGAAAGAGAGGAAGGGAGAGGGAGAGAGAGAAAGAGAAACATCAATGCGAGAAACATCGATCGGCTGCCTCCTGTACGTGCTCCAACCAGGGATGGAACCCGCAACCTGAGTATGTGCCCTGGCCAGAAATTGAACCTGTGACCCTTTGGTGCACAGGATGATGCTCCAACCAACTGAGCCACACCGGCCAGTGCCTGGCTGTTCTTTATAGGAATAGTAGTGGTCAAATCTTCTAAACGAGGGTTGCACATTGGAATAAGGTTTTTGTGAAAATGCACTCATTCAACAGATATTGAATGTCTATTAAGTGAAAAGCCCTGGATGTACACACAGTGCTTTTTAAATTTTATTCTTCAATTACAGTTTACATTCAATATTATTTTGTATTAGTTTCAGATGTACATCATAGTGGTTAGACAACTATATACTTTCACAAAGTGTTCCCCCTGAGATTTCTAGTACCCACCTGGCACCATACATAGTTGTTAGAATATTATTGACTATGTTCTATGCTTTACTTTACATCCCCATGAGTATTTTGTAACTGCCAATTTGTGCTTCTTAATCCCTTCACCTTGAATAAGACCAATACAATACTTGTCCTCATGGAGCTAACAGTATAGCAGGGAAGACTGACAGTTAACAAATTATACAAATTTAAAGGTGCAAATTGTGAAGAAGTGCTGTGAAGGAGAAAAATTCAGTGGTGCTATTTGAATAAAGAGAGTCTTAATTTAATTGGGGGAGGGGGTGATGATAAGCCTTTCTGAGGAAGTTATATTTAGGCTGAGACCTAACAGATAAGTTCAGGCTAAGAGGGGATGAAGAGCTTCTTGGGTGGAGCATATGCCAGGTCCCACATTGGGAAGGAACTTAGTCTTTTTGAGGACTTCCAGAGTATTTAAAGCAAAGAAGAGAGTGACAACATAAGGTTGGAGAACTAGGCTGAGACCATATTGTATGGTCCCTTGCAGGCCATGATAAGGAAGATGGATTTGAGTCTTAAGTGCAATTGGAAACCCTTGAAGAGTTTTAAGCAGGAGACTCACATTTAATTTAAACTTTTAAAAGGTCACTCTGATTCTTATATGGAGCATGTATTATAGGAGGGCAGGACTAGAAGAGGAAGGCCAATAAGGAGGCTGTGTGGTAGTCTAATAAGAAATGATGGTAACTTGGACTAAGGTTGTGGCAATGGAGATGGAAAGAATATATATATAATTTTAACTGCAATATAAATATTTTGTAACAGCTGTATTGAGATACAATTCACATATCATACAATTCACCCATTTAAAATGTACAATTCAATGGCTTTTAGTATATTCACCAAATTGTGCAACCATTACCACAGTCAATTTTAGAACATTTTCATTATCCTCTAAAAAAACCTGTATCCATTAGCATTTGCTTCCCATTTCTTCTGAATCACACCTACCCTTCACCTCTACTTCCTTAGTCTATTTTGCCTAGTCTGGCTATTTCATATAAGAGGAAACATATTCTTTTGTATCTGACTTCTTTCACTTAGCATGTTTTCAAGGTTAGTCCATGTTGTGGCATGTATCAGTACTTTATTTCATTTTATGGCTGAATAATATTCCACTGTATGGATATGCCACATTTTGTTTATCCATTCATCTATTGACAGACATTTGGGTTGTTTTCACACTTTGGCTATCACAAATAACATTGCTATGAACATTCATATGTGAGTGAATACATTTTAAAGATAGAATTGATGTGACCTGGGTCAATTACCGGGTTTTAAGGAGAAGGAAGTATTAAGGATGTGTACCAGATACCTAACTTGAATGACTATTATTTAAAGCCTCAAGAGAGTGAGCAGAGTGGAAAGAGGAGGGCAGTGTGTGGTAAGTGAGGGTAAAGTAACTGTGTAGAAAATGTCTGCTGAGTCCAGCCCTATACTGTTGAGGGTAACAATTTTAAAGAGACTGGAGCTCATATTATGAGGATGGGCTTAGCATTAGGGCTCTTAAGGTAGAGACAATGCTGTCCTCCATCCCCATCCAACAAGGCCAGGGGAATCCTCATGTTCTGTATCTTCCCTTCACCTCAGCAAACCACTTATCCAAGTACTGCTTATAAACAACCATATGAACATTTAATGCCAAGATTGCTTCAGCACCCACTAAACATCTGTGTTTTCATCAATGTAAGTAGTTAGTATTGGGTGGTGCTATTTTCAACATAGAAAGATAGTCATAAACTTAACTCAGTTGGAGCCTTTGTGTTAGCTCACTTATTTCATGTAGATTTATTGGGTGCCTACTTTTAGCTAGGTTCTGCAGAGGGCTACAAATTGCTTACAACACAGTCTCTGTCTCCAGTGGGGGAGAAATCCATGAGAACGATAGGAATTTAAAGGGCTGAGAGCTCACTTTTGTCCATGGAGATTAGGGAAGACTTCATGGAGAGATGGTGTTGGACTGAGGCCTGAAAAAGTACATAGGGTTTTAATAAGGAGATAGGGAAAGGAGGGCATTCTGTGTAGAAAGTAGCATAAACAAAATGGCTCAGAGGTATTGATGCCAGGCAAAGGAGTTTAGATTTTTGATGTAGGTCATAATAGGCCACAAAAACTTTTTACCTGTGGAGTAAATAATTCAGGAGGATTTCTCTGCCAGCAATATATAGGAGAAATCAGAGGGGAGAAAGACTAGAGGAGGATGTAAGTCATAGAAGGAATCAGAACTCAACAATTGATTAGGCTTATAGGACAAAAAGGGGAACACAGAGGAGTTCAAAGCCTGGGTAACTAGAAAATGGTGTGCCACCAAGATAAATGAAGACAACAGGAAGAGGATTATTGGGAGTGGGAGGTGGAGAAGAAGATTAGTTAAGTTGGAAGCACTCTAAAATAAGAGAGTGGAGAGTAGCTCATGCATAGAAATGACCACTGAAGCTGTGGGGATAGATGAGTTAGCCAGGTTGAATGCTCAGCAAGATATCTGAACCTAGGGGAAAAGCTACCTTTAGGGGGTGGTAGGAGAAGAAAGGGCCCACAAAAGAGAAAATTGGAGCAGTCAGTGGTTGTAATCACAGTCAGCATCTGAATGAAAAGAACCTCTAAATTACTGCAGGTGGCAATTATAGCAGTTTTGGTAGATGGCATGCAGCATAGGATCATTTTGTAATTCTTTTCATTTCACAGAATGAAAATCCACACTGGTATGGAGTGACCTAAACTGAATAATATTCAAAACCCATCTTTGTCCCACAGACAATATACTTCTGAGTGTTANAAAAAAAAAAAAAAAAAAATAAAAAAAAAAAAAAAAAAAAAAAAAAAAAAAAAAAAAAAAAAAAAAAAAAAAAAAAAAAAAAAAAAAAAAAAAATCCTACACCACAAAAGATTCACGGCTTCTGACTTAGAATGCATCAGGATAAGTAGAACACCATCAAGTTCCTGATTGGTCAGGACTCTGTACCAGTTTCCAAGTGTCTCTTAATGTGGCAAGCAGCAGCAACTAAGACCTGGTATAAGATCCAGTGTGTTCAATGAGTCAAGAGGCTCTTCCAACTGCCTTACCTTCTAACTCTTTGAATATGGCTACAATGATCCCATCTCCATTGCTCCATTGCTCCTACACTGAGCTGTGACCTCTGTACACTCTTCCCAGAAGTACAAATTCTTAACAACAAGCATATTCAATTTTAAAGCTTCCTTTTGTAAGTTTGTCATAATAAAGGATAGTATCATGGCTGCAGCATTGTGTACACATTCTTTTTTGTTGTTGTTAATCCTCACCCAAGGACATTTTTCCATTGATTTTTTAGAGAGAGTGGAAGAGAGGAAGGAGGGAGGGAGGGAG